TGACTGACAGACTATTATTTATTTTGTATTTGTTGACGTTTCAAAAGTACCAAACTATGGTTTAATTGAATAAATGATTTGACTTTGACTTTGACTTTGTTCTCTGTTTATGCGCGTTAATCTCGTGATTAACTGAATGATTTTGATGCGGTTTTTTTAGAAAAGTGTTTGTTACACATAGGAGAAGGTATTAGTATATTAATTATCCGACTTCAAAAAATATGAGGTTGAATTTAATTAAAAAACCATTGAAATTAGTAATTTACTATACCTGTACTTGTATATTATCATTTCGACTAAAATCTCGACCCACTCCAAAACCTAAGTTCTTACAGTGAGATAGATCTGAAATCTGGACACAATTCAAAGAGATTGCAGTTCAAAAGGTCGAGGTGCATCAGAGGGCACTGCTGCCTAATCTCTATCAAGTAACCTTTTTGTCGGGTAAGGCCCGATATCCGGGAAAAGAGTAACCCCTCTTAACAAATGTTTTTATACTCAAAATATAATACATTTATAAATTGATCATAAATCAACGCGGCAGTGTTTTTACTCTCATATGACCTTCACAAAACATCGTAAACGACCAGACCAGTACACATTACAGGAATTAAAAATATCACTGACAGACACCACCAATATACGGAGAATTAATTAAACGCAAATTCTGACGATACAAAAAAAGGGTAACAAAGAAAAATAAACAAAAAATATGCCTGACAGAGCACAAACACGAATTAACATCGCGAACGTAATAAAATAAAATTGCTCGGCTTCTGAAACATTTTTCGATACATTCAGGGATAATTTTCAAGTGGTAACTCGTTGGGACATTGCTATGGTAAATCCGGAGTCACTCTGAACCATTTGTAAGAAGTCCCGGAACTCGTAAAGCTTTTGCACCTACCATTGGGTTCAGTTTAATTTATGAGGGGAAAGCGACTGCCACTTTTTTATTTTATTTGTACTATGTTGGAGGATTTGATATTTAATTTTCGGGTTGATTAGTTAAAAATGTTTCCTGTGTTGTGGAAGCGTTTACAAACACATATTAATTTCATATAGGAATAACCTACACATCATAAAGAAATTACTCAACTACTTTCAAGCCAAGCCGCACAACATAATTAATTTATTATGTCTCGCAATCCTAAAAAGATTTATATAAAACTTTTACACGTAATCTCTTACTGAAATATCACAATTCTTAACAAAGACAAACTCAACATAACCAAGTTACAACAATTGAATAGTATCTCCCAACATCCTTTGTTTTAGACCAATCAGGACAACGTAACCCCTAAGGGGAGTCATTCTTCAGTCGTTTATTTTATCTCTAATACAAGCGTTTTATCTCAAGATGCTTGACTGACAAGCAGGCTTGAAGGCGTTACATTGTGCGCAAGGTTTCGCATCAAACTGAAAATGAGATTGATAAATATGCAAAGGATTTGCGTTCCACAAATATGCTGTAACTTGTATGGCTGTTTGGAACGAGTAAACTTCTGTAATGTGAGAAGCTTGGAGATTATTTACGTTTGAAGTAAAATAGAAAAATGCTCGAAGTATTCTCCAACCCTTTGGAGTATTATATTCATTTCAGTGACCAAAGATAAAGCTATCAGCCGAGTTATGTACACGACTTTTAACATTTACTTTTTAGTTTTGTCTTTGAGAAAATGTGTTGGGAATTTTTTAACAGTAAACGTAGAAATAGGAATATACTTACGATAAAACAGTTGGTTGCACTCATACAAAAATTGAAATAAATTATATTAGTTTGCTGCCTGGACAAAACTGTCTGCCGCGCAATGTGTAGCGGGTTCGATTCCCGCACGGAGCATGTGTCTTTGTGTGATCCACAAATTGTCATTTCGGGTCTGGTTGTTGATCTATTAAGAGGACCCGGTGCCTCCTTCGAGTGCGGATGGTGACTGGGGAGGTTTTAGTTAGATAAAAATCCCACACTCCCTAGTCTTTTTCCCCAAAAAGCTAGGCGCCTTTAGAAGGTGTCCCCCCGTCAACAAAAAAAAGGGTATATGTCGGAGGATGGTATGGGCGATGTCAAGCGAGAGCCCTCTTCGTCATATATATCGGTAGAGGTATGTTTATGCAGTAATAAAACAATTAAATCTTCGTAAATAAAGTAACGTTTACTTTCGACAGTGCACCTTTACTTGTTCGCATTTTAATTAAGTCGGCATTTCCTACGGACTACTCTGAGAAGAAACGCCGAAACAAACTCAGAGGTCTCAGTCCCTTTCAAAGTTCACAAATGGTCAAAATACATCAAAGTTTAGTCCACTTACATTGTAATAATATTCACAGTTATAATCTCAAACAATATAATGTCAATGACAATTTCACAGCACTGATTCTGATGATTGCAATCATTATTCGGCCGACAGCATTCCCAGTGCGTCGTTGTTCGTTCGGAGTCCCAGCCAAGAGTGCCTGCTGTTCTGCGATGTTGAAAGTCACTCAATCTCCCCCACTCTTAGGCGGACATGACGTCACAATTAACTCTTGAAGCGCGCCATCTTTATTCATTTTGTTGTTATTCCTTCGTTTTGTAGTAAATCGAAATCTCGTACTAATGACCGTTCCGACATATAGTATGTGAACTTGTATGTTTGTAAACACACCCACGGCTAGGAGAAAATTCTAGTCTAGGGCAAAGTTTTATAAAAACAAAGAATGATTTCAAAAGTAATCTAGGATCAAAATAATTCATTGAATATATTTATGACACTGTTATAGAAACAATAGATTCACCTAATAACTAAAGTAAGTACTATTTACAAATCACAAAGTCAACTCACAAAAACAAAAATCAACCGCTATTGTCTTTCCGAATAAAAGCATAATTGGTGGAGAGTCGAAAAGCGTTAGAAAAACAATGGGGTGTTGGCGAAAATCGCATTAATTCTCTTTTTTTACTCGGAATCGAATTCTGGGGTCCCCTTCCTGAGGCCTTATTTGCTTGCTTAAGCCTTAATAGAACTGCGCCTTAAGTCTCCTGAGTCCCGCTTTGTTTGCGCGACACAAAGTTTCGTGTTAAAGAGATTTAAGGTGAACTTCTTATTTTGCATTGGACCGTATTATCTTGGAAGATGGACACTCATTTTTATGGGCGTAACAAGATTTTATGTAGGAATTGCTTTTGTTTTTTTTTTAGGCCTTTGGTAAGTAGTTTTATAACTAAAGGTAAAGGAAATGCTTCGTCTTTAGATACCTAACTCTAGTTTAAATCATTTCTTGTTAAATGTAAACTAACAGTCTCAATTAAAGTACCTATATAGATATATACATAAATACCTAATGTGAAACTAATTTAAGTCATGTGCTCACTTTAGAATAAGGTACGATGGGGTTGGCATATCTTTAATGGATAAAAACCCCAATACATTTATTTATATTTAAGTAAATAAAGATAAAAAAACAGTCTCAATGGTTTTTTTATGGGACAAGCCAGTAAAAGTAATCAATCGCCGTTGCCCCATAGACACCCGGAACATCAGAGGTGTTACAATTGCGTTATCGGCCTTTTTATGACTAAGAATTTGAGCATCGATGGAGCTTTAGGGATTTAATTAGGCCTCCGGTAACCTCATTCAACCTCAGTTGTTTCACGTCGGTTTTCTGTGAGGCCGTGGTATCACTCCGGTCGAGTTGGCCTGTTTGTGCTGAAGCATGGCTCTCCCACACTTAAATAAGTAATGAAAAAATAATACAATTGTATAACCAGATTACCTAAGAAGCTACAAATATATTCTATAACTTTTTTGTAGATTTTATATCTTTGTAAGGACTTCTTTACAACCCTATCCTTTAAAGAAAGTTGATCAGATCACACCAGTTTGATCTTTTACTGCTGAATCGTCATAAAAATAAAACTTATTGTTTCAGTTGACGCAACTAAGTCATACCTTTTTGAAAGGAACACCACAGCAATACGATATCGTTGATACTGCAAAAACTATCAGGTTTAAAGCACCATTAAAAACACCTTCTTTATCTAGAATACTGTTGTACATAGTGAAGACTGTATTTCTGCATTTGTAGGAGATCAAGTTTACAAACCTACGGCCATCATACTTTTCACAGCTCTCCAAGAGTTTGATTTTTTTTATGAAATAAGCCGGTAAACGACTTTACGGATCACCTGATGGTAAGCAATCGATATCGCCCATGGACACCTAGAATACCAGAGACGTTACAAGTGCGTAACCGGTCTTTGTGGATCAGGAAGTGGATTGCTGGGTATTTTTTTTATGGCATAAGCCGGTAAACGAGCAGACGGATCACCTGATGGTAAACAATCGGCGTCGCCCATGGACACCTGGAACACCAGAGGCGTTACAAGTGCGTTACCGGCTTTTTGGGGATTAGGAGTTTGAGGATCGTTGTATTTTATGTAAGCAGGTATTCAGGGATTGGGGAAATTGGGTAAGGGGGGGAGGGGTAATTGGGTCCCTGGCAATCTCACTCGCACGACGAAACACAACGCAAGCGTTGTTTTTCGCCTTAATTATGATAAGTGCCTTCCAAGCTCTTAATTATAATACTATTTAACCCATTAGAAGTCACTGTACCCAATTGAGTACAGCTATATCCCTAAGTACTATTTGCAGGTAAAGCATAGTTTACGTGGGTAATCTTATTAATTTGCATTGTTATATGATTGACCATATAAATTAACTTAAGTTTCGCCGGTAGTGTGACATTTTTTAATAAATAACGTCATTCGAAATTTTTCAACCGGAACACTGTGGAGGTAAGTGAATGTTTTTTTAGTTATTTTAATAATTATTGGATAAATGTTGTAATTTCTAAATAATTTGTGTAAAATATATATTAGAGTAACCTTTAACGAGTGCTTATAATAAATAATAGTAACTGTAAGTAAACTAGAGTCATATAAATATCGCTGTACTCGTTTGGGTACAGTGACAACATGTATGTGTAAAATAATATTTTTTTATTTCAGATTTCTTACAATGGAGAAACAGCTATTTACCGGCCAAAATAGCTTCAGGGGGCTTCAAGAAGCCATCGAAGCTGTCATACAATATAGTGATGATGATGACTGTGACTTAGCTATCATACCGCCTGAACCAAGTGCGTTGACTGATGACGAGGAGGGAGCTGATGAGGATATGACGACCGTATGCATGCCGCAAGACGTACCTGGAACCCTCGAGATATTTACGCATCGTGACAATAGTGTACACGAAGATAGCTCGTACGACGACAGTGACGACGAACCTCTGGCGTCAAAAAGAAAACGACCAAATTCTACCCGCGAATCTGTTTCGAACGTGGCTCCAACCTGGAGAAAATGTGCACCTTCATACTCTTCAGCTCCTCAGCGTACGTCTCAAGTCAGCGAAAAGAAAAATAATGTTTGTGAAGAACTGAAAAACCTCAACCCCGTACAAATATTTGAAAAGTTATTTGATGATGATATAGTTGACTTGATTGCATCCAATAGCACACTATACGCCAACCAACACAACAGACATGAGTTTGAACTGGTTCCTTGTGACTTGAAAAAGTTTATAGGGATTTTGATTCTTTCTGGCTATCATAAACTTCCTCGAGAACCGATGTACTGGTCTCTAGACGAAGACATTGGCGTAGAATTGGTCAGCAAAGCTATGTCAAGACATAAGTTTCGAGATATAAAAAGGAACTTACATCTCGTAAATAACGATTTAGCTGGTACGTCAAACGATAAAATGTTCAAAATAAGACCGTTGGCTGATAAACTTATGGAAAAGTTTTTACAATGGGGAGTTTTTCATGATAGTATATCTGTTGATGAATCAATGGTGAAATACTTTGGCCACCATCCCGCGAAACAATTTATTCGTGGAAAACCAGTACGTTTCGGGTATAAAAATTGGGTCGCGGCAAGTTCCACAGGTTACTGCTATTCATTTGATTTTTACTGTGGAAAATCTCAGTCACAGACTTCTGACCCATTAGGTTCTCGAGTTGTGAAAAGTTTGTTAGAGAAACTGAATTGTACTCCAGCAAATCATGAAGTCTTTTTTGATAATTTTTTTACGAGCTATGATCTATTGCTGGAATTGAAAAGCCTAGGTTACCGTGCTACAGGGACAGTAAGAGAAAACAGGACTAAAAAATGTCCACTGACTAGCACCAAGGAAATGAAGAAGAAGGAACGTGCGTCTTATGATTATAGATTTGATAAGAATGGCGAAATTTTACTGGTCAGATGGAAAGATAATAGTGTGTGTACAATGGCAACTAACTACGACGCTATTGAACCCTTTGGGACTGTGAAAAGATGGTGTCCAATAAAGAAAGACAAGACAGATGTAGCAATACCACGTTTGTTCCAAACCTACAATAAAAATATGGGAGGGGTGGATGAGCTCGATCAATCTATCTCTCTATACAGGGTTGCGGTTCACGGCAAAAAGTGGTGGTGGGTATTGTTTACTTACATGTTGGATATGACTGTTGCTAATGCCTGGCGTTTACACGTTATGAGTCACGATAACCCTATGGATCAACTGACGTTCCGCCGTCATATCGCACGATATTATTTACGCCAAGGACAACGGAAATCGCGTCAAGCTGCATCAATAGTCGAAGGCCTGCCTCAAGATGGGGTTGGACATTATCCCATGAAAATTGATAAACCGCTACGATGCGTAATTTGTCACTCGAGAGTACGTTGGCAATGTAAAAAGTGCGTAAAGACACTTTGCGTTGAGAAAAATTGTTTTGAAAACTTTCATACGTAGGCGGTCAGTGTACTCAATTGGGTACACCCCCCAAAATAACATAAAATCTAATTTTTTTTAATAATTATCTTTCATGTTGTATTTCTTATGTCTTTTTTAATATAAATATAAAAATAAATTGGAAAAAATATTTGTGGTTTTCATTTGACCTCTAATGGGTTAACCTTTAACTTAACCTTTTGAAACCAATATTTATATCAAAACCATTTCAGTGACCTTTAAATGTATATTTTAAACAGAACACTACACTAAATTGATGGTTTACTTCGAAAGGGTGGAGTTCAAACCCAATAACTGTGGGAACCACAATACGAGAAATGATCTTAGGTGTCATACTAAACTAGCTGGGTGGACCAGTTCCAGTGTGAATTTTTATTATAAACTTTATTTAACAGAATGTTAGAGCTCGAAAGGGGTAGGCAGAGATCGAAAATGTTATGTACATATCAAATCTTTTATTAGTTATCTAATGAGTCCTATATCATTCATAGTACATGGGACACATAATAAATAATGAAAAGTGAGTGTCATATTCTACAGTGATATTAACAGCCGTAATGTGCCTACCAGTCCACCTCTGCCTACCCTTTTGGGGATAAAAGGCGTGATGTTATGTGTGTGTTATTTAACAATTTACGCGTTAATTATTAAATTCTAGCGCTCGTAATGCAGAAGCCACAGATATAAAAAAAAACCGATAGCACCAACAATATAACTAATGACACCGCCACTTGTAGCGACAGCAAAAAAAGATAATGATGTTGACGTTCTACACAAACAAAATCCTGATCAAACCGCTTTCGACAGGATAGATCCGGATATAACCGCTTTCGTAATTTATTTTTTAACGATGAAGAAATTGTGGATTTTTATAATAATTTTAATTGGTGTTGGTTTCTAATGAAGGACAGGGAATCGAAAAGTGTATTTTTTTATCGTTTGTGTTTAAGAAAAATAAACAAAATAGGTGGGTTACCTTCAAATGTTTTTTCCGCGAACATGAAAAATTTATTTATTTATTTAAGGGACAAAACAGTTACATATTAAGATTTCAGCTACAATAAATATGTAACCCACACCATTGCCCACAATTTAGTATAAAATATAACGGCAATAATGACCGTGTTACGGTAGTGTTATCGTAATTTAATTAAATTAAAATTTACCAAATATAAAATATTGTATATAAAATATTATACCTCTATAATAAAAATATCTGGGAAACATGCGTTTGACAAGTACTTGTAACATTAAGGGCCGACTTTCAATGCTCAGATAAATTTTAACTGACGAATAACTTTGAAAATTTGACTATTCTTCCATACTAAAAACTGTCAAACGTCAATTTTATTCCACAGATAAGAATTAACTGATGATTGAAAAATCGGCCCTTACTAATCTATATGTATGAAAGAAAGTCGTGTTAGTTACACCACTTATAACCCAAGAACTGCAGAATAGATTTGGCTGAAAATTGGTAGGGAGGTACTTTGGAGCCAGGAAACCGACATTGGATACTTTTTAACCAATACTTCTTTTTTACTTTTTACCGAAAATCACGAACGGGGGCGGGCAAAAATGGGATTACGCGTACGAAGTCGCGGGCAGAAGCTAGTATGAAATAATAATAAAGAGGGTTAACAATGATAAGGAAATGAAACAAAATATTATTAACATTGTTATTGGTTAACGTGTCTACATTTTCAATTAAATTAACATACATAACGTCACGCCTTCTTATCCCCAAGGAAGTAGGCAGAGGTGCACATACAAGTTCTGTTATGTATACAATACAATAGAGGGTGAGTATAATACTATTGTTTACCAAATACAATTCAAGACATTGTGCTAATATAGAGAATATTCTAAGAAGCAGAAAAAATCATAATTAAAAGGTTTTTTTCAATTATGTATTGGCGCTATTTTAGGGCGGCGACTGGATAACGGGCTACCGCGCAACGTGACGCGAGTTCAATTCTCGCACGGAACAATTCTTTGTGTAATCCAAAGATTGTTGTTCCGGGTCTGGGTGATATGTGTATGCGAATTTGTATGTTTGTAAACGCACCCACGACACAGGACAAAATCCTAATGTGGGGCAACGTTTTTATTTAAAAAAATTCAAGATATGATGATTTCCGAAATTATTTTGTCTATTAATTATTACTTAATCATTTTTCTACGTCTTTAAAAATGGTTTTAGTCGTTCAAATAAAAACGATATTATTTGGGTTTAACCTTTGACAAGGGTCCTTTAAAGAGCGATTTTGCCAATTAACATTTATTTTTAATTATATGGATTCAATAATTATTTTGGAAACCTCAAAGGTAATAATTATGCGGTAAACATCCATTGGCTAACAACAGAAAACAGTATTTCAATTTAAATATATTTTTTTTTTTTATGGAATAGGAGGCAAACGAGCAGACGGATCACCTGATGGTAAGCAATCAGCGCCGCCCATGGACACCCGCAACACCAGAAGAGTCACAGGTGCGTTGCCGGCCCTTTAAAAAGGAGTACGCTCTTCTCTTGAAGGTTTGAAGGTCGTATCGGTTCGGAAATACCGCCGACGACAGATCATTCCACAGTTTTGCTGTGCGAGGCAGGAAGCTACGTGAGAACCGCACAGTTGTGGCCTGCCAACCATCTATATGATGGGGATGCATATGCTGTCGTGAGGGTCGATGGCGAAAAGATACGGCAGGTATCAGGTCAAACAATTCCTCAGAGCACTCCCCGTGGTATAAGCGGTAGAAAATGCACAATGAAGCTACATCTCTACATCATTTAAATATAAAATGTATTTTTCTTTTAATATTATTCTTGATCGACTGTTTTCCTTCCGTCCGTATGATAAATACCAAGAATAACCCCATTAATATAACAAATACCCAAGTTCCCAAAAAGACGTATCTCCGAATTTGCATAATCACGGTCGAACCTTGCCATAACTTGAACCAGCCATAATGTACGAACCATGTTCCCGACAACGCCTGACACCGCCGCATAACTCATAAATAAACTGAAACCTACCGAATATTTTTAATTTATTTACTCTGGCAACCCATTAAAAGTCTAATGCTAAAGGGTGACCAGTCCGTCGTGGTCGATTTGTGTAAATTAAAACACATTTTCGTGGGTAATGGGTACCATGATACCTTTATGGTTAAACTTTTTAGCGTCATGGCTCGCTTGGGGTACGCGATTGTGGTATTTAATAATGTGTGTCGGACAAGGTCTATTTATGATGAGGTCAAATCATTAAGTATTGAGTGATGGTTGTCACTTGAAGTTTGGACCTCTGAATACTAATGTGCCTTGATGAAGGTAACCCAGGAGTTTTATGAGCCTACACGGGGTGATGACGTCCCCTTCATCAAGGTTTGGTACAATATGCTAATAGAAAAAGTTTTATAATAACGTTCTTCATATTTGCGTAGTTTAGTGGCAGTTTTTGTGTGCGTGCTTTATTGCTGTGGCACAAAAAATAAAACAGTATGTAGATTTGTTACAAATAGTTGTTTCAATTTTATCATCTTTAATGGAATTTATCATTATTAATTTGATATTATGTACAATGTTATCAATACGAGATTGAACTGACTGAATATGTTTTTAATACAAAAAACAGTCCGCAGTAAAAACATATTTCTTTTCGTGGTACATCTCCCTAATGAGGGAGACGTGTTGTTGCCAGGAATAGGTTTAATTGAGTGTCTTAATAACTAACTTACATTAAATCTGTAGGGCGAGATGTCACACACACACACACTACATTCTATTCGTTTACAAAATTATGATCATAAACATTATTTCAAATTATTCTGTTAGCCCTAAAACAATTAACAATAGCTTTCATTAAAAACCGACCCAAAACGATAATAAAACAAGTTGAGTAATTAAAATTTTATCAGTTATATTGTATTCAATATAATAAAGCTTATATAATCTCCGGTTGAAAATACTATAATAATAATTACTCAAAATACATCATCACATTCAAATTGCGCGTATAAGAAAAATATTACGGACACTTTTTTTTATGGGTTAAGCTGGTAAACAAGTAGACGGATCACCTGATGGTAAGTAATCGGCGTCGCCCATGCACACCTGGAACTCTAGAGGCGTTACAAGTGCGTTACCAGCCTTTTGGGATTAGGAATTTGAGGATTGTTGGGATTCAAGGATTGGGGAAAGGGAGGGGATTGAATTGGGCCCCCGATAACCTCACTCACACAACGAAACACAAAGCAAGCGTTGTTTCACGTCGGACTTCTGTGAGGCCGTGGTATTCCACCGGTCGAGCCGGCCCATTCGTGCCAAAGCATGGCTCTCTCACACTTTTCCAAGAAGCTATATTTATTACAACTATTAAATCTTTTTAAACGGACACTATTTGTAACCCGTTTACAAAACTGTTTACATCACCTATTAAAGAAATTTATATTTTTTACCTGACCTACATACATATTCCACAAAATAATTAAAAAGACCATAACACAACCAACTAATTAAAATTTCAATCAAATTACTGGAAAAAACTATAGAATACCCTTTTTACGACTGTGCCCTTAGGAACCTGTGGAATAATAATTGCATTTACAATTTCCATTAACTAATCATACTTATGACTTCACATCTAGGTAAACGATCTGAAGTTAGCTTTACGACAGTTTTACACTTTCATGATGAAGTGGGATGGTAATAATTTTGAATCGTAAAATGTAGTATTATGTTTGTATTCTCTAAAGAGTATGAAAAGCTATATTGTAAATGCGTTTATTGTTAATTGTTTTACTAGTGTTCTGTTTACGATAAAAGTTTAATTTTTAATGCCATAAATGAGTTAAGTAATTTTTGGTGTTGTCTTTTTCTTAAAATCTCTGTCAGATTTTATTCAAAA